TTGCAGAGAGAGCGTGAGCGAGAGAGAGGCACTTGTGCTTCCATTCTCTCTCTCTCTCTCTCTCTCTCTCTGTGTGTGTGTGTGTGTAAAAAAGAGAGTGGCCTCATGCTGTTCTTGGACAAGCTGACAAGCTTATTGGGTGGGGCTCCTGCCTTTGCTGCATCTCAGCAGGAAGCAGCATCTCTCTCTCTCTCACAACTCTCTCTCTCTCTCTCTCTCTCTCTCTCTCTCTCTCTCTCTCACTCACTCACACACACACACTGAGTGGGGGAAGAAGACTGGCAGACCAAGGGCAGGAGAGAGCCAGCACAATAAGAATGTGTGTCAGCTTGTCGGAGAACAGCGTGAAGCCAGCTTGCAAGGTGAGCAGAAGATCGGAGAGAGGGAAGGGAGAGAGAGAGAGACAAAGAGAGAGGGGGAGAGGGAGGAAGAGAGAGAGAACTCACGCATAGCAGCCTCTATTTCTTTTTAATTACACTCTTCAATCAAGCTCGGCTCCCAGTGTTTTCTTTTCTCTGGGAAATGGGTCCAAGTGGCTCTTTGAGTGTTTAAAGTTGCCGACCCCTGTGTTAAGTGAATCATTCAACTGGTAAATTAGCAAATTGTCAAGTGAATCTGGCTTCCTCATTGACTTTGCTTGTCAGAAGGTCACAAAAGGGGATCATATGACCTTGCAACTGTCATGAGTCAGTTGTAAAGCATTTGAATTTTGATTGCATGATAATGGGAGGCTGCAATGGGTGTAAGACTGAAAAGCAGTCATAAGTCTCTTTTTTCAGTGCAGCTATAACTTCAAGCGGTCATTAAGTGAACTATTTTAAGTCAAGGACTACCTGTATTATTGTATTTCTGAATGGTCATTAACCAAAGTAATTGCTAAACACGGAGTGGCTGCATCTCATTTTGGGCAACTGCCTGCAAAACAGCAGATCATGTCTTCATATACAAACTTTTGGCTGGCTTTTTACACAATAAGCCTAACCCTAGCTTCACAAGCCAAAATACAACCACTTCTCATTTAGCTGCTACCTCAGTAAGCAACTGCTCCCAAACACAGGTAGTCCTCAACTTGCGACAATGGAGCCCAGCATTTCTGTTGTTAAGTGAGTTTTATCCCATTTTACGCCTTTCTTGCCACCGTTAAGTGAATCACTGCAGTTCTTAAGATAATAATACAGTTGTTAAGTGAATCTGGCTTCTCCATTGACTTTGCTTACCATAAAGTCACAAAAGGTGATCGCATGACCCCAGGACACTGCAACGGTCATAAATACGAACTGGTTGCCAAGTGCCTGAATTCTGATCACATGACCATGGGGATACTGCAACGGTTGTTAAGTGTGAAAAATGGTCATAAGTCATTTTTTTCAGTGCCATTTTAACTTTGCGAACTGCTGTAAGTCAAGGACTACTTAATAATAATAATAATAATAATAATAATAATAATAATAATAAAGTTGGAAAGGACCTTGGAGGTCATCTAGTCCAACCCCCTGCTCAGGCAGGAAACCCTATACCATTTCAGACAAATGGCTATCCAGTCTCTTCTTAAAAACTTCCAGCGTTGGAGCATTCACCACTTCTGGAGGCAGGTTGTTCCACTGGTTAATTGTTCTAACTGTCAGGAAGTTTCTCCTTAGTTCTAGGTTGCTTCTCTCCTTCGTTATTTTCGATCCGTTGCTATACTACTTGTATAGCGCGGTAATAAAACAATGGAAAGCTTCATTTCCCCACCCACCTCCAGTCCAACCGAAACTGAAATCCAAACTCTCAACTCTGCTACTACAACTGACCACTAACTCATTTCCCAGCTTAATAATTTTCCTGGCTTTTTGTGCCACCCTCAAATTCCTTCCTCCCTCCCCCCCCTTTTCAGCCTTTAAGGACCGGATATTACCTGGGCCCTCTCGGTATCCTGGGGGTTGAACTGCTTGAGGTGCAGGGGCCACTGCCTCTCCATCCCCATCTTCTCCAGGGTCTCTTTCATCTTCCTGCAGGACTCGAGTTTTTTTCTGCCTATCCAGGCTTTTCCACGGACGTTGGGATCCCTGGGGGCTTCTCCAGAGCTCCCCTGCCGTGGCTCTTCCCTGACTCTCCCCAAGGAGCCCTGGAAATCTTTGGCATCCTCCTCTGACGGAGGCGGAGATGCCGGAGACAGCCACGCCACGCTTTTCAAGAATTCATGCCATTCAGAGTCCCAGTATCGGTGCGTTTCCTCCTCGGACTCGGTCTTGATGTGGGGGTGGCCGCCCCTGTTCAAAAAATCCTCAATGGTCTTCACTTGGACCACAATCGGCTCTCCTTCCTCTCTCTCGGTTCCTTCTTCTTCTTCCTCTTCTTCCTCCTCCTCCTCCTCCTCCTCGTGCACCACAAGTTCCTGTTCCTCCATAGTTGTTCCCTCCCTGCAGGAGGGGGAAAGAAAGGAAGAAGGAAAACATTACGGAGAGTCATGGAGGCCAGGCCATGTCGGAAGGAATTTAAAAAAGACCCCCGCCTTTCCTCTCTAATAGGGTTTCTCTTAAGAGTTTGGGGGGGGGGAAGAGAGAAAGATTCCCTGTTTGGAATAAAGCCGAATTTCCCTGCTTGCGTGTAGGGATCCTTAGGTGCTACTCCCTTAACCCAAGTTGAATAAAGAAGTAAAGAAACGAGCCCAGTCGAAGCCACGTGTGCCGCCGATTCCGGCCTCCCCCCTCCAGCCTCCCTCGGTCTTTCTCTCCCCCACCCCCGATCCCCGGGGCCTCCCTTTGCGCAGGGGCCGGGGCCTTCGGGTAGGGGAGGCCTTTCTTTCCATGCAAAGTCGGGCGAAGCTTTGCAACGAGAGCTCCCTTTGTCTTCGGGAGGCACCTGGCCTTTCCCAAGCGGGCTGTGGGTAGAGAAGCCCTTTTCTCTTTCCCGAGCGATTCACTTTACGGCCTGCTCGTTCCACCCCCACCGGGGGAGGGGGAGGCCTGGTTTTTTAAGTGCCGGTTGCAAGCGATCAGCCAAGTTAAAATGTACTTTTTTTTTTCTCTCTCTCTCTCTCTCTCTAGAGAGAGAAATAGCCATAGACGCGATCCTCCCCATTCGGGTGAACATTTGTCCGCCGCTTCCGCACTACTTTTTTTTTTGAAAACTGATCTGTAATAACCGGGGGTGGGTGGTGGGGGTTCATTCGTTTGGATTGCACCCCGGCGATGCTTTGCCATTATGACCGCCCTGCCGCTGCGACGATTAGTATTTATTAGTAGTATTTGTTGCTTCTGCCATGCGCCTTACCTTCCCGATTCGGGCTGCAGCCTCGCGGGCGATCCGCGTTCTTTTTCGGAACGGGAGGGGGTTGGGGGGGGAAGAGAGGCCAGCGGCGCCTCTTCGGCGAGGCCTCTCTAGACCTGCCCCGCTCTATGGCATTAACTGTTTCGGCGGGTTGGCTGGAGCGCCAGCGGAAGCGCGGGCTTGGGCCGCGCGAGGAAGGACGCGAGGGCTGTACCGGTTGCGCTGGTTAAACTTGGTCAAAAGAGGCTGGGCGGGGTGTTGCGGGGGGAACTCGGCCCCTTTCGCGGCACTGCAAGCCGGGATATAAAATTAATAACGCCAACCGAAGTGAAGTGGGAGTGGGTGGGTGCGTGACTTCATAGGCGTGGGGACTCTTTGGGCTGATCGTTTTCAGCCTAACAAGGTTGCTAATGGCGGGGAAAAGGGAGGGACAGATGAACTTTCAAGAATATAAAACGTATTTTTATTTTTTTTCAAATTTAAGATTTTGCTTGTGGTTGTGAAGATAAATGGAATAAAACAGAACAATTCTTTATTGGCCAGGCGTGATTGGACACACAAGGAATTTGTGTTCATGAACTCAAACCAACTTTCTGGATTTGCAAAACACTTATCTTGCCTAGTAGGCGCTTGGCTATAATACTGTTTGGGATTTAGTGGATCACAAAGGTAAAAGCCCTGGGGGAAGATCCTTTTTTTTTTTAAACAGCAGAGTTGGGAGTTTCCCTCTTTTGATCCAGAAGACAGGACCGAGTACTTGTGATGCTCCCTCTGGGTTTAGGAAAGAAATCTCTCAATTCTTTTGCTGTCTCTGCTTCTGAAAACAGCTTGAGCGCCAGATCAGAAGCAGGCAAAAACTCTGGGCCCGTTTTGAAATCTTGTAGGTGTTCTCCCAAAATGGCTGCCAGGGTGGGCCTAGCCAGATGCACTCCCAACCTGCTATTCAAAGCTTGGCATGGCTGATGAGAACTGCAATCTAGCACCACCTTCAAGGGCACTTGAAGGAAGTGCATTGTGTAGACCAGTATTTCTCAACCGTGGCAATTTGGTGTGTGGATTTCAGCTCCCAGAATTCCCCAGCTAGTATGGAAATTGGCAGCTAAAATCTGCACATCTTCAGGTTGCACAGTTAGGAAACACTAATGTAAATTAATGATTCCCAACTTAGATAACTAGTTGACATGTGAATCCCGGGTCGCCCCCCCCCCCAAAAAAAATTCCCAGCAACTAGCCAGGTTAGCTGTGGAAATGTGTCTTTCTGGACTAGATAAATAAATCTAATGTAAATTTATTGCTATGTAAGCAATCAAAGAGTCTTTGCGGGATAGAAATATGTTTTAAAAACAATAAATCGGGGGCCTAGCCCAACATTCTGTATCATGCAGTGACCAATCTGGAAACTCATCCACATGAACAGAGGGACCATAAGTCTGTCCTTCGGGGTTCCCCAACAATTGGTGTTTAAAAGTGGCTGCTTAGTAATTCAAAAAAAATAGCAAAGAGCCACCAAGTAGCCATTGAGAGCTGGACCTCACCCCACCACCTCATTTGTGCAGCTGCCTTTAAAGCTGCCTGCACTGATGGTTATTTTGCATCCAATGGCAGAAAATTCCAGTTAATTATGCATTAAAGTCATCCTTTCTCAGAATAGTCAAAGATAGACAAAAAAAAATAGAGTGGGATCTGAACATACAGCTTGGATGAGAGAGAAGAGCAAAAATGTAAGCTGCACAAGCTGGATCTCTCTCTTGTTTTTTAAAAAGAAGCCTTTATTATTTTAATCTTCACAGTGCACTAAAAATACTCAGGGGGATCTCCGCCTACTATAAAGGGGAGAATGAGGGTGATTATTCTTAGGTCTACTCATGTACACATCTGTCCAGTGTGCACCTTTTTATGTTTTTTAAGATCAGAACTGGAAACGAAACTCTTGGGGCACTCGGAGCACTCGTACGGCTTCTCCCCCGTGTGGGTGCGCTGGTGCGTGATCAGGTTGGCTTTGACACTGAAGCTCTTCCCACAGTAGGGGCAGCTGTACGGCTTCTCCCCAGTGTGCCTCCGCTGGTGCTGAACCAGGTGCGCCAGCTGGCTGAAGTTGTTGCCGCAGTACGAACAGTTGTATGGCTTCTCGCCCGTGTGCACCCGCTTGTGGGTCAGCAGCCGAGAGTTCGTCACGAAGCGCTTCCCACACTCCAAGCAGGGGTACGGCTTCTCCCCCGTGTGGGATTTCTTGTGGATGTTGAGGTTGCCTTTCTGGCTAAAACTCTTGCCGCACTCAAAGCACTGGTGCGGTTTTCCTCCCGGGTCAGTTTTTTCAAGACTCAGGAAAGGAGATTCCCAAGAGAGCCTCTCTCGGCAGGCGGTGCCTTTGGCTGCCTTTTCTCCCTTTGGCAGCGCTCCCAAGTGAGCAGAGCTGGGCTGAGGCAAGCGTCTGCTCTCAGGGCTTTTCCTCTTAGCCTTACACTTACAGACCACCTCTCGGTTTTCGGGTCCCTCTTCGTCTCGTTTTAGGGTGGCGTTACGCTTGGGCAGGTCACTCCCACGCGCCCAGCCTTTAGCGGTCGGCTGTTCTCCAGCACCGACTTTCTCTTGCGTCCCTGAGCTTGATTTTTTAGACAACCGTTCCTCACAAGGGTTGCATCGCTGCATTTTCTCAGTCTGTACCTTCCGATTCTTAAGGAAACCCAGGCTTGGACAAAGGCCATTTTCAGCAACTGCCTTGGCTGTTGTCGTCTTCTTTTTTTTCTTCTGACTGGCAGGTGCCTCTTGACAGCACCTCTTATTTTCACTCAAACGGCGATCCTGCTTCATACTTTCCCCTGGGTAGTGCATCTGGCGGCTCCCGTGAATCTCTTCTAGCTCAGGATTGGAGATCAACTTTCCTGTGATTTTTTCTAAAGGGATACCCCATTCCATTGGCTCCGATATTCCTAGCAGAAGGGTGTTTTGCTTCTGGCTGTCCTGTGCAGGCTCCTTAGGTTCTGAAAGAAGGTAGCAAACGGTCATGAAAAACCCTGAAGAGGTCATTCATTGGCTAGATTCTTTCATCATGTTCAAACTGAACTTGCTGGACAGGTCAAAGGATCTTCTTCACCTTAAGCTAAAATGTAACATGAAAACCCCCTGATCACATGACAGCAGATCCACCCAAGACTGACTTCCTGGCAAATCTGGAACTAAAAATATACCAGAATATTCTTAATATTCACTATTAAGCTCCACAATCTACTTTACTAAAAGTCTTCCAACTCTTAAAAGAGTCAGGAGGGTTGAAAATCCAGTCTTCAGAAGCTAAAGCTGCAAAAAAGTTGCCTAGTCAAAGTTTAAATCATGTTTTATGCATTGCAATGATTGCATTTTTCATTTTTTTTAACTCACTGGGCTAACCTGCCAGAGAGCAGTTAATGTTTTTAAAACTTTAATAATTTTAAAAATATGTGAACCCCGCCTTACCCTTTTTTATGTTAATAAATTTATTAAACATGATGGTCTAAACCAGGCCTTTTCAACCTTTTCACTATTGTACCACTTTTAGGATATGGCAACATCCGAGTACCACCAGTCGCCTAGCAAGGTGTCAAAAACATGATGACCAAAAAAAGAAAAAAAATGATAAAGTATAGGTAGTCCTCGACTTACAACAGTCCACTTAGTGACTGCTCGAAGTTACAGTGGCACTGAAAAAAGTGCCCCCCAAGCCACAGACGAGCAAGACACCTGCCCACCCGCCCTCTTCCTCCCGTACAAGGTTTTCATTGTTTTGAGCATTTCTGTTGAGGATTGGCAGCGGGGGTGGGGTGGGTTTTTTTTTATTCCCCCCCATCTGCTGGGTGGTTGCAGCAGGTTTTGGTCACTTCACATGACCCGGAGACACTGTGACCGTCATAAATATGAATCAGTTGCCAAGAATATGAATGTAAATCACAAGACCCTGGAGATGCTGCCATATTCCAGCTAATCGGCGCTTCTTCTGGGCTCAGCAGAAGCACCAGGATCAGTGCTGCTTTCCAGATGATTGGTGCTTCTTCAGGGCTTAGCAGAAGCACCAGGATCAGTGCCGAGCTCCAGCTGGAGCCTGGCAAAGATCCTGGCGCTTCCACTGAACCCTGATAGCCCCGAAGAAGCGTCGATCAGTTGGAAAGCGGCACTGATCCTGGCGCTTCCGTTGAGCCCTGACAGCCCTGCAGCTCCAGCCATCTCTCGCTCAGGCTTGTGCGGTGCTGCCACCGGTTCAGCTCATTCCCCTCTGCTACCACTTTTCTAGGATGGTCGCGTACCACCTGCCAAGTGCCAATGTACCACAGATGGTAACCGTACCACTGGTTGAAAAGATCTGGTCTAAACTGCATATCGAAATATATTGCTATAAGCTCCTTCTGCATGTTATGCTAAAGGTTACTAACATTTTTCTATATTCTTTGTGATGTTTTTATGTGAAATAGTTATTGCTTCCACGTTGTGCATTGCTGGGCTGGGGTATTCTGGGAGTTGAAGTCCACACATCTTAAAATGGCTAAGGATGGAAAACACTGCTCTGCCGTTTCAGCTACCCAGAATTTCCAAGGCATCGCATTTCTAATTTACCTCCAATGTTCTATCATTTCCCCACAACTTTATTTTTTTTTTCTTCCTGTTCACTATTTGCAATCTATATGGTTAAGAATTTTTTTGCGAATATTTTGAGATGGGTAGGGAGTATAGCTGTGAATATTAAAAGGCCCTCTCAAGCTAGCTGATGACCTTTGTTATGCTGGTTATTTTTTGCTCTGAAAATGAATGTCCTCCTTTCTCTACTCCATTGTGTTCTAGATGCATCTGGCATGCTGGCTATTTAACTATTCGCCCATCGAAGCATCTGAAGGACAGAAGGCTGGGGAAGATGGTCTATAGCAGGGGTGTCAAACTCAATTTCATTGAGGGCCGCATCAGCATTGCATTTGCCCTCGGGGGGGCGGGTGTGTGTGGCCTACTGGGTGGGTGTGGCCTACAGAGTGGGCATGGCCAGCTCTACATCGTTTGTGTCAAGGGTGCCTGTGCAGGAGTGGGGCAGATCTGAGGGTCTCCGGCAGAAGGGGGTGGGACCAGGGCAAGTGCCAAGGCATGGTCCATTTCTTCACAAAGGGTGACACCTCCCCATCATGCATCGGGGGGGGGGGGAACGCAGCAAGGGCTGGTTCCTCACTGTTTCTAGATGGCCTTGTGGAGCTAAGACTGAATGCGTTTCAGCATAGATGGCCATCACAAAATTGTACCTTGGCTCCCGGCCGGCCTGGGCCAGGGCCAAGGCAGCAGGGGCCGTTCCCTCACTGTTTCCAGGATGGCTTCGCGGGCTGCATCCGGCCCCTGGGCCTTGTGTTTGACATGTCTGGTCTATAGGACTGTCTATTGTGGGAGATGCCACGAGGGCTCTTGAAGGCAAGTAATATATATGTGCGCACACCCAGCGACTCCCACACCACAAAGCCCTAAGCCAGTTTCTGCCAGGGGAAAGAAACCCAGTTTGTTAGTGTGTGTATAATTCCAAAGAAGAAGAAAAAATATCTTTGTTCCATTGCTTTTCTCTGAAATTATTTTATCAGGACAGATCGGGCTAATCTCCAGATGTTCAAAAGCTGATTGGCTCTAAATATTGATTTTCACTACTGAGCAAAAGAGATCAACAAATGCACAGAGACTGAACAGGCATTATTACCCCAAAACTATAGTGACAAATTCTGGGTTTTAATTAAGGTCTATGCAGGTCAGCCCTCCCTTTGTCTTTCTTGGACCTGGTTTCTTGAGAATGTTGATGGACACAGAGCTTCAGTCTTACCCAAAATGGCTTCCTCTTCCTCCTCATCTATGGAGATACAGCTTTCCACACTGTCTGAAGGATTATGTTCAGACGTGGGGGAATTCACCAACTCCTCCTCCAGAAGTCCAGGCACCTGAAGGACAAAAGACACCAAGTGTATTTGATTAGCCAAGGCAGAAGGGTGTGATATGAAGTCAGCAACCTTAAGCTAAGCAGGTTTGCTTGGAAGAAGAGAATCAAGAATCCTTCTTTGTATTTTTATTATTGGGGGGGTGGCAGAAGGTGGAAGATCATATAACTCGGTCTTCCCCTAGTTATCTCCAATTCCTTTGGTCCAGAGGTCTCCAAACACGGCAACTTTAAGACTTGTGGACTTCAACTCCCAGAATTCCCTAGCCAGCATTAAGAAGTCTTGCCAAGTTTGGAGACCTCCATTTTACTCCAATGGACTTTTGTCACAGCCAGGCTTCTTTTCCAACTCCTCAGAGAATAGCCTGACGCAGATACTCTCCTTTTTGTCAGTTTTCTACAGGTAGTCCTCAGCTTATGACCACAATTAGAACTTCAGTTGCTAAGCAACGTGGTCACTCAATGAATTGTGCCCAATTTTATGACCTCTTTTGCTACATTTATTAAGGGAATCTGGCGTCCCCCCCCCATTGACTTTTACTTGTCAGAAACCCCTGGGAAGGTCGCAAATGGCTCTCTTGTGACCCCCAGGATGTCATAAATTCTTGCTAGTTGCCAAGAGCCTGATTGGCAACTAGCCAATCAAGAGCCACCTGGCTGAGTTGGGCAGTTATAGAAACTGAAGGAGTGAATGAAATCCTTTTTTTTTCCACCACTAATTTTGAACAGTTGCTAAACAAAAGGTTGCAGGCCGAGGAACTTGTGCTTTATTTTCCAAAGTGGCTACTATACCAGATCAAGCCTCACATCGACTATTGCTACATGGGCCTTTTTTGTATCTGTTTTTGTATTGAACCACCGGATCCCGTCTTGTTTCTGTTTTGACTGTTCATTGATTGTATGTCAGCCTGCACCTTTGCTTTCTTTCAAGCTTGCTGCCAGCTGCCATGGAAACGATAAGAGGGTGGAGCATTGGATATCTAGGAGGGGAAGTATGCAGGAGGTGGAATGAAATTTCTGAGGAGCCGTGAGAAGCAAAGTCTTTCTGGCTGATGACTGAACTCTGATTGCCTGGCTACTGGGGGGCGGGCTCTGGGATTGGCTTCAGCTTCTTCATGCAAATTTTCTTCACATCTTGCTTGAACTTTGCTGTATTCTCAAATCTATGGAGTCAAGGGGTTTTCTTTCCTAGGGATTGAACAGAGGCAGCCCTGACCTTGTAGTTGAGTGACACCTAAATCAAAACAAAATGGATAAATAATTGCTTTATTAATTGCTATTTTCCAAAGCACCTGAAGGCAGGACAAGAAGCAATGGGTGGAAACTAACCAAAGAGAGAAGCAACCTAGAACTGAGGAGAAACTTCCTGACAGTGAGAACAATTAACCAGTGGAACAACCTGCCTCCAGAAGCGGTGAATGCTCCAACACTGGAAGTTTTTAAGAAGAGACTGGACAGCCATTTGTCCGAAATGATATAGGGTTTCCTGCCTAACCAGGGGGTTGGACTAGATGACCTCCAAGGTCCCTTCCAACTTTATCATTAATATTACTGCTTGAAGTGCCCTAAACATGCTGGTTAAATCCAGTCCTTAGTGTTTGTCGCCATTTCTGTTGGTGCAGCCCAGATTTATATGCAGTTCATAAAAAAAGAGGCATGGAAAGATATATTGCAGAGATGTCTGATCCTGGCCTATCCATGTCCGCCCGCAAATGGTATAAACCACCACAGATGTCATAGTATTAACATTAAATGTCCCGATCTGTTTGCTCTTTCGGGGGAATGCAACAGAATGCACGGGTGGCATAACTGCACAGAATTTTTTTTTTCTGTCTCTAAATGGAGGTTCATTACATCAAAATTTTGTCATCACATCATCCCAAAGGCTTCTCTTCTTTAGGTTGAACATACCCAGTTCCCTTATTCTCTCCTTGTTTTTTTCACTTTGATCAGCTTTACTGGATGCCTTTCTCTGAACAAATTCCAGTTTCTTCGAATGAAATTTCACAGCTAATCTTGGTAGCTGGGTTCACACAATCAAGTATCCTGCATTCATATAATTACTGTTATTTGAGCCTAAACTGACTCCAGAGAGTGTGCTAATAAAAAAAACCCAGACTGAGTATGTTGCGTATTGTGCCAACCCATAAGGGACCTCCTCAATGCAAAATAGATTGAAACTACCATATTAATTCACGTGATTTGGAAGCAATATTCTGACTGCTGCAATCTCAAACTCTCATTTGGGTTTTTCGTAGCCAATGCAGACTATTTAATAGACATCCAAATTTAGAAATTAAGGGCCACAAGAACTGGCAGAATTTGGACCACATTTGGTTGCTAAATGATACACCCTAGTAAGAATGCCTGGCTGTATTTTGTAGACTTCCAAGAAGGCCACATTTTGAACTCCCATCTCAAAAATCACGACATTAGAACAGCCTGTTGTAGGCTGCCTTTGAACCACGGACCTACCTTTTGTTTACAAGACTCTGTTTCTTGCAACCGAAGGAGGAACTTTTCTGCTAGGGCCAAGGCCTGAGAACACGTGGCCGGACTACTTTTACAGACCCAGATCTGCATCTCCAGTGGCAAGATGGTCAGGAATTGCTCCAGGATCACCAGATCCACAATTTGTTCCTTGGAGCGCCTCTCTGGGAGAAGCCACTGGCGACAAAGCTCCTGGAGTTCGTTCAAGACTGCCCGAGGGCCCTCAATTTCCTGGTAGCAGAAATGCCGGAAATGTTGGCGTTTTATCTCCAAGCTGTCCGTGTCAACCTCAGTCAAGGTCTGCTCTTTTAAAGGCGCCAATTTTGTCAAGTTGTCGGGGGCTTTCTGTGGTTCCCTGCTGAGGCCCTGCAAGATAGGCCTCCCCATCATACGCCCTTCCTTGGACAACTGGTTGGGCGGTTTCACCATCCGATATGAAGCCTTGAATGCCATCATGTCCTCCTCGGAGACGGACTCAAACAACCGTGATGGTCTCCAAACAGAGTAAAGAGAAGGCACCATCGGCAATCCTTTCTGCTGTTGAGTTTTTTGGCTCTCTTGCAGGCCTACGTCCAGTCCCTGTTTGTTCTGCAGTAAAGCTGCCCCTGTCAGGATGTTCTTTGCAGTTTCCCCATAGAGAATACGAGAGTTTCTTTCCCCTTGGTTTGCGTGGGGTTTTGGCCCCCACAGGTGACACGATGCCATCTTAGTTGCTGGCTGGACAATCTGAACTGGAAAAAGAAAATGGGCTAATGATCAATGCCGTTTGATGCCTACTGTACATCCCAACCCTATGTTGTACTTGATGTGGCTTTTAAAATAACCTAAATACTTCAGGGAGCAGCTAATGTCAGGCAGATTGACCTCAAAGGCTCTAGTTTTATCCTCAGGCAATAAGTAAGATTAGGAATATGAGGAGCAGCATCTTCTCAACGGGATATTATGAGAATTGTGAGAAGATTGTGGGAAATGCAACTCACTTCTATCTCTTTGCACAAGGAAGGAAAAAGTGCCAAGTTCGTGGCCAGTTGAGAAAAAGGCAAAATTCCACAGGAATCCTGAGTTCTAAATATTTATTTTAATATCAATGTTTCGGATACTTTTTTCCTTTTCTTCTGGGACAATTTTCATTATTCTGCTAAATGGAAGAGAAAAAAAAATCACTGGACTCTTTCAATCCTTCTCACCTGCTTAGTGCTGGGCTTCTGTTTGTACTTCAGCAGCTAGATATATATTAGACACCATCTATATCCGTTTTTAGTCAGGTCCTGCTCAGGAAGAGAATTAGACTTTTCCAACTCTATAATTCTCCTTTGCAAGGAGGTCCAATCACTAATGTAGTGTTTCTTAATCTTGGCCATTTTCAGACATGCAAACTTCAACTCCCAGAATTCTCCAGCCAGTATGTCGGCCAGGGAATTCCGGGAGTTGAAGTGTGCTAGGTTGAGAAACACTGCACTGGTGTCTCCAGTGAGGGATGGACAGAAGGCAAGTAATGATTTATCAAAGAGCCTATTCCAACTTACTTGGAAATCTGTAAGAGGTTCTATTCCCATGTATTACTCCTATTGTTTTAGCCAGAACAACAACAACTTTGCATCCCTCAATTTAGAATGCCAAAAAAATGCTTGCAAACAAAACCACCGAACAGATTTTTAGGAAGGAACAACTAGGATTTCAAGGGTGGTTTTTTTGTGTGACACTGAAAAGTAATTCTTATATTCAAAAACGGGATGAAAAGCACCCTGGTCTTTAATTCTTAGATTACAGTTGTATAATATGCCCAATTGGTCTTTAATTCTTAGATTACAGTTGTATAATATGCCCCACCAACTCAATTACTATCTCAGAGAAAATAGCTGCCACTGTGAGCTGGCCCTAAGCTGTCAGACAACCCAAACAAACAGGGCAGTTTTACACATACACGCTCTTCGTAGAAGTACATAGGACAGCGTATCTTCTGGCTTCTTTTTACTGCAGTCCTAGATCTACAGGGGTTAATACCCACTGCAGACAAAACTGGAGAAAACTTGCCAGCCCTATTTCTTTCATCCCGTGGTGTTCTGCTCCATTTCAATGGAGTTTGTGTTTGTGGGAAGAAAAAGGAAAAGAGAGACAAAGGTCCTACATTACAGTGATCCTGTTTTTGCAGGGCCATTCCCAGTCAATCTCTGCACTGGCAGCAGGAGGAAGAAAATAATCCGCTGTTAATGCTCTTGTCCCAATTTGCTTGGCCTAACTAGCAGGTTGTATAGCCTCCTAAAATCCCAGGGCTGTTCAGGCTAAAACTAAATCCCATCTTCATACTAGCTCTGATTTAGTTCTGTGGTTATATGGTACAAGTAACCTGAGGGACAGCTGCAGGAAGGCAGCCTTATTGTAACATGGATGGGCCTTAAAGATCTAGTAAAAATGGAAATAGATTTCTGAAGGAGAGCTCAGGAAAAAAAAAAAAACCCTACAGTTTATCTCCCATCACTATATAATCAGTGTAGCCCAAGGTGGATAAAAAGTAGATTAGGATCTATTATTCCACTATTGGATGGGTTTGAATGGAACAGCAGGGGTCTCCAATTGCTACTTAAGGAGCAAAAAGCAGCCTGGTTAATTCAAATTCTCAGGATACCTTTATTGTAGAGGTGGAGAATCAGCAAAGCTCTTAAGTTATTCATGGCAATTTCCAACAAACCTGACCATTGTGAGGGATTCTGAATATTGTAGGACAGTAATATCTGGAAGGCTGCAAGTGGCCATATCTGCTTTTATTAGGCAAACTGAAATTTTCAAAAATACTTTACAACTTTCCAAAATTTTTCATTGGACATCATAATTTTAAAAATCCAGAAAAAAAGGATAACAGAGAGGAAAAACGAGGCTTGTGGTTTAAAACATGCATGCTCCACATTCCTGATTGTTTCATCAAAGCAATTGCAAAAAAAAAAAAAGTAATTTTCCTCTTTCAAAATGAATTTTGGATCTGCCATTTCTCCAACAGGGTGTGAGAATTATTTTGAAATATTTATATCAGTTTGGCTGCAGGCATTCTGGCTCTTTTGTTTCTTAAAAGTCTGGAGATGTTTGCAAAAAAAATAATAAAATAGTTGTGTCAGACGTTTAGGAAACTGTTAAAAGCAATCTAGGGAATCTCCAAACGTTGGAGAAAATTAACTGGATAGGTTGTGGATTAAAAACTAGACTCCTGACACTTTTCACTATTGAAAAGTCTTTACTCTGAATGTTAAACTGGATGCATGTTTTACAATTCATTTATTCTGATCCAGTTTATGTTTTGTGATGCACTCTAAGTTAAAAGCTAAGGCTGATTTAGAAATATTCTGGGATAGCAGCTTTTGCATGGTTTTACAATACCTTTCCTGCACTTTACAATACCTTGCCTATGTATTTTAATGTTTTTGCTCATCATTTTTCACTCCTTAATAACTAAGTAATCTGTTTACCAAACTCGGATTACTGAGCAGATGGGAAACTTGGTTGTTTATATCATTAAACTTCAATCATTATGGAACTTAGCAAAACTTCTGAAAAGCCAAGGGCAGGATTGAACCTACGTTTTTTTTTTTTTCCCCTAAGTGCGATCTTATTTCCTGATCAAGGATCCCGGATCATAGTTTCTTACTTTCCCTCCGGAGAGGGCGGCTTTAAAAATCACACCGCAGTCACAGGGAGCAAAATCAATCCTACTCCGAAAAAAAGGCAGATCGTCACAAACCTTGCACATCGTTTATTCAGGACTTAGTGCAATGTGACTCCGGCGTGCAGGGCTGCAGCCAAGCAATTCAGCAGCACTGCCTGGCTGGAGCGGCTGGCCGGACTACAACTCCTATGGTGCCCAGCCAGACCCTCTTTCCCCGGGAACCCTTCCCGAATCCCCAGCCGGGACTTTCCCCTCCTGGCCGCGGCGCTCACCTTCCCTTTGCAGCCTTTGCATCGCGCCTTTCCGCCGCTGCATCCCAACTTTCAGGAATCGGTGACCCTCTCCATGGCACCCAGGATGGAGAAGCATACAAAGGGCAGTTTCTCACCGAGAGGAAGGAGCCTAGCCAGGACAGGAAGGAGGAGGAGGAGGAGGCGGCGGCGACCCTTCCCACTCATTTCCCCCCGCCACAAATCTGGACCTTTCTAGGCAGGAGAGCTCGGTGCCTTTAACCTTTTGCGGAAAAAAAAAAGGGGGAACCGGCGCAGGCGCGCGCGCCGGGGGCGGTCGAGCGAAGCCGGGGGGGGGGTGAGGGAGCGCGCACGCGCGGGCGCGTGACCAAACGGCTACCACATGGCCCGGGTTTGGCGGACGCGCGAAAAGGGGGGGGGCGAGTGGGGCGAGTTTGCTGGGCTCTGATGAGGAGTCCGTTCAGTCTGGGCATCGGCCATCACTCAGGTCGGTCCTCGGCTATGCGACCACCACCGGGCTAAGCAAGTAAAGTAAAGTTTTGCCCCATTTTTACGACTTGCCTTGCCGCAGTTGTGAAGGGCAATGCTGTAGTTAGTAAGTTAGTAGCACGGTTGTTAAGTGAATCTGGCTTCCCCGTTGACTTTGCTTGTCAGAAGATCTCAAAAAGAGGGGGGGGTCACGTGACCCAGGGACACTGCAACCGTCGTAAATACAGGCTAGTTGCCAAGCGTCAGAATTTTGATCACCTGACCCTGGGGATGCTGCAACAGTCATAAGCGTGAAAAATGGTCATGTCACTTTTTTCTTTGCTGTAACTTTGAATGGTCACTAAATGAACTGTTGTCAGTTGATTGTTGCATTGTTGTTGTTTACACTCCTCCTTTCCTTCAAGCAACTCAAGGCAGCATTACTTAGTGATTTATTCATTCCGTTATCAGGCTTATGTGGCTGCTGGCATAGGTGACTATGGGCTTTTTGTTTATATTTTAATAGCTGCCCATCTCTCATATGTGACTGGGCAGCATACACAGGTAGTTCTTGACTTTACAACCCACAGTGGAGCCCAAAATTTCTGTTGTCACCTGGGACAGTTATTAACTGAATTTTGCCACATTTTACGACCTCTCTTGCCAGAGTCGTTAAGTGAACCACTGCAGGTGTTAAGTTAGTGACACGCTTGTTAAGTGAACTTGGCTTCCCCGTTGACTTTGCCTGTCAGAAGGACACAAAAGGTGATCACGTGACCCGAGCACACTGCAGTCATAAATATGAATCAGTTGCCAAGGGTCTACATTCCGATCACATGAATGTGGGGAAGCTGCAACGGTCGTAAGTGTGAAAAACAGTCATAAGTCGCTTTTTTCAGGGCCCTTGTAACTTCAAACAGTCGCTGAATGAACTGCTGTAAGTCAAGGACATGTACTAGAATTTGTTTATTTGACCTGCAATCAAATAAACAATGTCATTAAAATTAAGTAACAGTTAAAACATAGATATAAATAAGACTGGGAGAACAGACCAGCAGTTCAACACGCAGAGTAGCCACCTTGCAGGCTATTTCCCTGGAATGCTGGAGCCTGTTAAAAGAGCCGGGTTTTAAGAGATTTCCTAACTATCAATCCAGTTGGGGTTGATTTCCAAGGAGGAAGTCCACCTCTGGAGTCCCATCAGGTGAAACTTTTTAGCAGACTGGACTGTTAACCTGTCCCTCCTGCCGAACCTTATTTAATTAATATATTAATCAAATTTATATATTTCATTTTATTTTGGCACCACCCAATCCCGAATCGATTTTGGCTATTAAGGTAAGCATACAAGAATAGA